ATTATTGAGGTCACATTCAAAGCTTGTGATGTTATGATTAGTTGTTCAACATATAGTTTTCATGTCGACGAAAACAAATTGGATGGTTGAGGTATGGTGTTTATTGAATTGCTTATACTGATTTGTTGATTAGATTTTGGTAAATGACCATGTGCTTGATCAGCATGTTTGGTTCTGATTGTTCTCGTCAGTTGTGTTCGGTGTGTAATGGCCAAATGTGGTGGAATGTTTCTGATCACTGGAGAATCAATGACCTCAAAATGTGTGACTGTCAGTACTCCAACAGGTAACAAGGGATGCCACAAATGAGCTACACACATCGCACTCTTATGTAGGGAATCAAAACCCAGCCAGCACAAGCACTATGTATATTCAATGGCTATATCTTGGTTTTTGGCGTTTAACGCCACACTCAGCAATATTCCAGCTATATGATGGTCGTCTGAAATTATCAAGTCTGGATTAGACAATCCAGTGATCAACAGCATGAGCATTGATCTACGCAACTAGGATACAATGACGTGTGTCAACCAAGCCAGTGAGCCTGACCACCCGATCCTGTTAGTCGCCTCTAACAAGCATGGGTTACTGAAGATAAAGTCTAACCCGGATCTTCAGATAGTAATAAATAGGTTGATTTTGTGAAGTTTGATTGATCTCACGCTGGTGGAACAGCATATTAAATAAGAATAAATACACAGAATGATTAACAACATGGTAATGTGTGTGCGTGCATGTGTGTGAATGCATGGATGGAAGTACACACACACAAGCACTCACACATGCACACACAAACACATGCATGCACATGTACACACATACACACACATACGTGCGTGCACACACATACACACGCAAGCGTGCATGCACACACACGTACATCTATCACTGTTTACAGTACAGAATTACTAACTTATCATAACTGACATATTTAACATGCATTCCTGTCAGTTTATGTCAATCCCACATATCCAAAGGTGGGGATAATATCATTGAAGTGCAAATGAATCTGGTAAACATTGATCGGACAACATCTGGCATGTCTGAACAAGCTAACCAGCTGAATGGCCATCAATAACAACGCCAAGTCCTATATGTCCTACAGCTATATTTCCCTCAGCAAATGGAGGTCACATTGGTCTGTTCACTAAGTGCAAGCTGTAGTGATATTAGTTGTTTGTTGACTTAACGCCACAGTCAGCAATATCCCACCTATACAACAACAGTAAACAGTCAAGTCTGACAATCCAGTGATTGATGTTCTGATGACACACAATCCAGCTAGTGCCAGAGTTTGAGCATCAATGTAGGTGCAACCACCACAGGTTGCTAGGATCTATTCAAAATCATGATTCCCAGCTAACAGTGTAAGTGCAACCACCACAAGTTGCTAGGGATCTATTCAAACTGGAATCCCAACCTTCAATGCAAGTGCAACCACCACAGGTTGCTAGGGACCTATTCAAAATCAGGAATCCCAGCCAACAATGTAAGTGCAACCACCACAGGTTACTAGGAATCTATTCAAACCAGGAATCAACAATTCAAACCAGGGAATCCCAGAATCCCAACAACATAAGTGCAACCACCACAGGTTGCTAGGGATCTATTCAAACCAGAATCCCAACCTTCAATGTAGGTGCAACCACCACAGGTTGCTAGGGATCTATTCAAACCAGAATCCCAACCTTCAATGTAAGTGCAACCACCACAGGTTGCTAGGGATCTATTCAAACCAGAATCCCAACCTACAATGTAAGAGCAACCACCACAGGTTGCTAGGGACCTATTCAAACCAGAATCCCAACCAACAATGTAAGTGCAACCACCACAGGTTGCTAGGGATCTATTCAAACCAGAATCCCAACCTTCAATGTAAGTGCAACCACCACAGGTTGCTAGGGATCTATTCAAACCAGAATCCCAACCTTCAATGTAGGTGCAACCACCACAGGTTGCTAGGGATCTATTCAAACCAGAATCCCAACCTACAATGTAAGTGCAACCACCACAGGTTGCTAGGGATCTATTCAAACCAGAATCCCAACCTACAATGTAAGAGCAACCACCACAGGTTGCTAGGGACCTATTCAAACCAGAATCCCAACCTTCAATGTAAGTGCAACCACCAAATGTTGCCAGGGATCTATTCAAACTGGAATCCCAACCTAAAATGTAAGAGAAATCACCACAGGTTGTTAGACCTTTTTCCTTTCATTCGTTGGCCTTTTTATAATTTTCAAACAAAGAAGTTTTAACAGGACAGCATACTGAACCAACCAAAGGAAAATTGATAATTTCATAGAACACATATTTTTGTACTAATTATTCCTCATGCTTTAAGAGCTGTGGTAATAATATTTTTTCTCATTTCATTTAATTTTAGAACAGAGCTGCCAAAATAAGAAAAAATGTCAAATGTCAAATGTCCTTAATTAATTTTCATATTCATCAGTCAGTCTTACTAGGTCTTGTAAATCAAGGCCCTACATATAATAATTCCTTTAGTGCTGTAATAAACTGTGATCTTCTTCATGCACACTGTGTGTCAGAACGACATTGAAGAGAAATAGGATGTTTGCTGTCCAAGGATATCACTTGACAAACATACAAAAATAACAATGATTAAACAGAGTGTTGTTTGCAGGTCCACAGTGCTGTAAGCTAATGATGAACTAATTAGCAAAGCAGGATCACTGTTCTCAAACCCCAGCTGGTCTTATCATGGCACAGGAACAACTCACCAGACGTTTTGATGAAGATCCTAGAAAAACATCTTGGGGTTATACTTTTTCAAATGTCATTCGGACTTAGAGCCCACACTTCCTGAGTAAGGCACCTGGTTGCTGGCTCACAAAGAATTTTTACATAAAAACAATGTAATCCGAAATTATTACATGTTCCATTCGACTATTCAATCAAGGTAGCAGTGCCAATTTGAACTTATCAGAGGGCGGGTACACAAAATACTGGTACTGCTCCAGACAAACAGATTCCAAGACAAAATTGGTCCCTATGGTGGATGTACTAACAGCCCAGTACGTATTCTAAGCTGCGCTGGAGAGTGGGTTATGTCGCCTTTATCTGAGTGAGTAAGTTTGAATCCCTGAACAATAACACATGTTACATTTGAGTGAGTGAGTGAGTATGTTTTTTACGCCGCTTTTAGCAATATTCCAGCAATATCAGGGCGGGGAACAGCAGAAATTGGCTTCACACATTGTACCCATGTGGGGAATCGAACTGGGTCTTTGGCATGACGAGCGAATGCTTTAACCACTCGGCTACCCCACCGCCTCTGTTACATCTGACCACTTTCTGAAAGGTCTTATCTCCATGATCAAATGTGCTAGAAGTTTTAGTTCTTTGGAAACATCAATAATATATTTACCTCACTCTCTCTCTTTCTCTGTGTTAGTGTCTGTGTGGATATAGGAGAATGTGAAAGACTCTGACAGGAATGGTACACTGATGTGTTTCATGGAGAAACAAAATTTGTGATTCCCTAAGTGAGTTTGACTTGAGCCATTCTTTTTTGCCTCAGGAGCAGTTTTAAGGAGAATGGTATCTGAAGCTGACAGGCTCCCTAAAGACAACTGTGGGTACAAGATCAATGAGAAAATAATGTGGGGTGATATTGATCACAGGCATGAAGGCGTGTGCATATTACAGGGTTGTGTGATAAGTCAGCGCTAGACAGTCAACCAGAAAGAAACCCACAAAGATCATTCACCTATGATTCATGACACTTGTCATTATTCATGAACTGCTTGTGAGAATTCAAAAACTCTAGGTTGTAAAGAGTTGCTGCTTGAGATAACTATATATTCCACCACAAGCACACACAAAGACCAGGGACCTTGCATACCTATAGCTAGAGTGCCCCCAACTCCTTCCCCACTCAAGTACCCCCCCACACCTTGTCCTTGTGGTTAAAGCGTTGCGCTCATCACGCCGAAGACACGGGTTCGATTCCCCTCATGGGTACAATGTGAGAAGCCCATTTCTGGTGTTTTTAAATTGTTATATCTAGCAAAGAAAGATCTATCAAATAAAGACAAAAATATCTGATAAATGATGATGCTGTTCTAAGGACACACACTTTCAGTTTATATTAGAACTGGACATTGATTGGAATGTATTTCATGTAGATTTACAGACTGATGTGACTCAAATACCATAACACAAATGATGCATACATATGACAATCACATCTAAATACATACTACCGTGAAGGTCCGGTTAGAATATTGGCCTTCAGTAACCTCATATGCTTGTCATAAGCGGCAACTAACGAGGATCGGGTGGTCATCTTCGCTGGCTTGGTTGACACATGTCATCATTTCCCAATTGCGCAGATCGATGCTCATGCTGTTGATCACTGGATTGTTTGGTCCAGACTCAATTATTTACAGACCGCTGCCATATAGCTGGAATATTGTTGAGTGTGGCGTAAAACTAAACTCACTCACTCACTCTAAATACATAAGAACAAAATTAATTTTACAAAAAACCCACCAAAGTATTTACATGACACAAATTCTCAAAAAAGTGTAATTTATGTATCTCCAAATAAAACATAAAAACGACAAAAATTATGATAATGATGATGATAATCTTTAAAAAAACATCACCATGGTCATTGTCAACAACGGTATAGATCTACTGATAGTCACGATTATCATAAAGTTAATAAATTCCAGACACTTGGTTTCAATATACCAATTCAACAGATCATGAAATAAGATATTATTGTCACAAACATCCACCGTAGAACACGAGTTGAGTACGCCCTACAACGTATGAGTGATTCAAACAAATCGATCGGCAGAACTCCACTCGCATCACGACTCATTACAAGTACTCACGTAAGTAGTACCAGTTTAGGGAGGCAGGGCGAAGATACCGCAGAATACCGATCTACCTCACTGACATACGACAGGTTATGGCTAGACATTTTTACACTTTCAATTCATATTACAAAAATAACAAGCCTTTACCTTTTCTGAAACGATTGCGAGCCTCCAGCCATTCTCTCATTCGCCGCCGCCGCTCGAACGACACTCGAATGCTATTCGGAAACCTGACTAGCTCAACACGCGTTTTATGTGACTTCTGATGGAGGAAAATATACAAAGGGGAAGTAACTGCAGTACCAAGTGAAATTTTCTGCATTTGTGACAGAAACACCGAAAGCTCCACACACTGCAAGTCCCTGTAAGGAGCGTGTTTACAATATTAATCAGAGGTCGGACTCTTCACCTGAGTTGCGATAATAACAGTGAATATTTGCCAGCCCGTAATACCTATTATTAGAGGATTATTAGTTGTACGGACATATACCGTCGTCCGATAGTCGACATAACACTTTTCTATAGGGAAACACGTAAGATTGTATACAAATTAATATAGGCAACAACAGTTTCTTTTGCCATTAAATTTAGAGACACACGAAGGCACACTTCGTGTATTCAATATAAGCCTGGCGAGAATACTAAATTGTGACGTCATTTTGAATGTAGTCATGAATAGGTAAGATAATTGTATCTAGAAAACAAAAATGTAACATCAGTGATCGAATACTGTCTACTCGGTGTAACAATGGATGGCAATATAAGTTTATTAATTGCTGAAATTTGTAAATGATATGTACGATATGATTTGATGCATTGAGCAGTTTTGTAACTCTAAACAACGATTGCGGCAGGTGCACGATGTTGTTTTAATAGGAGGTTGGGTAAGTAAGTGAGTGAGTTTGGTTTCACGCCCCTTTAGCAATATTCCAGCAATATCACGGCGGGGGACACCAGAAATGGGTTTCACACATATATACATTGTACCCATGTGGAGAATCGAACCCGGGCCTTCGGCGTGATGAGCGAACGCTTTAACCACTAGGCTACCCCACCGCCCGGTTCAAACAGAAGGATCCAATGTTTTCACACCTTATTTCAAAATACTGATAAGTTCGATGATGGTAATGATGGTGATGGTAATGATGATGGTTTAGATAGTGGTGGAGATGATGATGATGATGATGATGATGATGATGGCGAGTTTCTAACACATTATCATCTGCAGCTGATCAGTGGGAACGCTGGTGCATCAATTGTTTCTGGTTATTTTATCCACCCGCCTCGTTACCAATGATACGTTTAGCAATTCCAGTTTTATTATTACATAATATTATATATAATTTTCAAATAATCATGTCGCACCTTAAACTGGTTCAGTATGGAGGCATTGATGGAATATAAATTTTTTCTTTTTTTAAATATTGTTGTTTGTGTGTATGTGTGTGTGTGTGTGTGTGTGTGTGTGTGTGTGTGTGTGTGTGTGTGTGTGTGTGTGTGTGTTGTTTTTTTATTGAAATTGTTAAACGTCACACAAAGCGATACTCCAGCTAGATCTGTAATTGGCGGCCTGTGAATGGCGGAACGATACAGTCAAGAGATTAACACCATGAGCATTGGTGTACGCAAATTTGAAACGGTGACGTGCATCAACCGAGCCAGCCTATAAACTCCTGATCCTGTTAGTCGCGCCTTACAAGCAGGAGTTGTTGCATCTTATCCCGGATTTGCATGGACAGTGATTAGATCGCCATCGTTATCATAACTTTATATAGAAACACACACGCTGGATGTCCTATAAATGTTTTGTAAACATTTTCGGGTCCACCTTTCTTTAAAAAAATTGCATGTTTTGAAACTCGTCTTTGAATAACAACCATCATAAATTGAGTTAGCCGAGTGGTTAAGGCGTTCGTTCGTTACGCCAAAGACCCGAGTTCGATTCCCAATATTGGTACAATGTGTGAAGCCCATTTCTGGTGTCCCCCGCCGTGATATTGCTGGAATATTGCTAAAAGTGGCGTAAAACTAAACTCAGTCAGTCAGTCACTACAATGTCAACGTGACAAAGGTCCGTGCAAATCCGGGTTAGAATCGCGATCTTAACAAACCAATGCTTCTCGTAAGCTGTCAGACTCGCCGACTTGGTTGACACATGTCATCGTATCCCAATAGCGTATGTCTATGTTCATGCTTTTGATCACTGGATTGTCTGGACCAGACTCGATTTTCACAGACCATAATATAGCTGGACTATTCCTGAGTGCGGCCAAACTTAACCAACGTGACAAAGTATTCTCTGACGTCAATACACGTCACGTCAATTTAGAATACTACATGGACGAGTTCTCGTTAGATGCCAGTTTTACGAAAACGAACTTTCCATGATAGATAAGATAGAAAGTTCACGAGTTCCGTTAAATTGGTAACTAACGACAACGTGTATCGTATTCTATTTATTGCCCATGTTTTAAATAAATTAGAGTTGATATTTTGGGGGGGTATTATTTTGACGTTTTGTATTGACGAACCGAAACCGGTTTAGAGAGAGGTTGTCGAGCAATAAACATAACAAAAACCTTGTGCACTAGAGCCTAAAATTCTAGAATTTGGGTAGAAAAACAATTGGTTGATATGTGTGTGTTTATTTCGTAACGGGGCCATAGGCCGATGCTACAGATATTGTGGTACAGATATTTGTTGTATACAGAGAAATGATGGCTAACAATTATAATAAATGTATTTAAACATGAGTAACAGCTTTTACAAAATAAATGCTTTAGAAAGACTGACTGAGTTTGGTTTTACGCCGCTTTTAACAATATTCCAGCAATATCACGGCGGGGGACACCAGAAATGGGCTTCACTCATTGTACCCATGTGGGGATTCGAACCCGGGTCTTCGGCGTGACGAGCCAACGCTTTAACCACTAGACTACCCCCACCGCCCCGCATTAGAAAGAGGCATCTATAAAAAAAAAACATTTTTCTTTTCTTGGCTGCTAAAAATTTTACAGAGTTTCTTAAGATGACACCTTCTGAGAGAAACAATGCTGGCATTGATATATAGTGTAGAAACATTGAAGAATGTTTAATGAGAGGATACATAACGTTAAGTTTGATCTATGAGAAAGAGACTGAAACTTCAGCAATCAAGGTTCTCGAATCCGCCACTTCGAGATTATATTTAACCATCACCCTGCGTGGTCATCAACGGCTGTGTTGCGGACAGGCCACGTTTTGCCTTACTGGTCAGAGACCATATACCGTTACTGGTGCAGTGATTTGTGTGGAAGTTCATGTTAAGGATTCCACCATATGTGACACCACAGGGGTTCGAATCACTGTTTGGACAATAATTTTTAAAAATAAAAATCTAGAGTTTTGCAAACGTATATGTTATGAATAACATATATTTCAAATTTGAACGAAATCGGTGAAGAAATGGCTTTTTAAGAAAAAAAATTGTAATGAGTGCATCGGGAGAATTTTCTTAAAAATCCATTTCTTCACCGATTGCGTTCAAATTTGAAATATAAGTTACTCATACCATATATAAACGATACATATAGCTGGAATACTGCTGAGTGCGGCGTTAAAGAACAAATAATCAAACAACTGAATGTATCGGTAAATGTTTCATGTTTCACATTACTGATGACTGGTTATGAAACGTTGTGCATTACGGGAACTGCCGAGTATGGCCGAATGAGCGGAATTGAGCGGTTTAGTGTTCAACGGAAGGCAGTCATTGAGAACCTCTCAACGCCAGAAGGGAATGACCGTTATTTTCCGATATGGTTTTCCTGTTGGTAGTTGCTGATATGCTTGATAGGGATATTATACTGACCACTTACCCGGCGTTCAGTTGATTGCTTCTACGTGGGTGTCCGGGTGAAACTTGACCCGAGTAACCGGAAATCCGCCACCAAACTTTTGGCACTGTATTTTATTCGTGATTTAATTGTGTATGATCGTATAAGATGAGGGGCGGTGAGGTAGCCTGGTGGCTTAGGCGTTCGCTCATCACGCCTAAGACCCGAGTTCGATTCCCGTCATGGGTACCATGTGTGAAGCCCATTCAGGGGCGGATACAGCTTTTGAGAAAGGTGTGTGTGTGTGTGGGTGCACACTATTGAGAAAAGGGAGGGTGAACACTTCATTTTCACTTGAGTTTCAATGGTCTTTTAATAAACTTTCAGGACAAAAGGGGGGTGCGCACCCCTGCACCCCCCTACCCCCTCTGGATCCGCCTATGTCATTTCTGGTGTCCCCCTCCATACTCACTCACTCACTCCAATAATATCCGTTTACAGGCCGGTCAACATGGCTGGAACATTTTTGACAGGGTAATACTGAGGTTGGTTTGATGATTAAGCAGTGTCAGTGAGTGTGAGCGAAGTTAGTTTTACTCCGCTTTTAGCAATATTCCAACAATATTACGACAGGAGACACCAGAAATGGGCTTCTCATATTGTACCCATGTTGGGAATTGAACCCGGATCTTCGGCTAGAGAAGCGGGCGCTTTAACCACCAGGCTACCCCGCCGAAAGCATTATGAGATACTATGTATGTGGCGTCGAAGATGGAGAACAGTGAGTGAGTATGGTTTTACGCCGCTTATAGCAGTATTCCAGCAATATCACGGCGGAGGACATTAGAAATGGACCTCACACATTATACACATGTGGGGAATCGAACCCAGATTTTCGGCGGGACGAGCGAACGCTATAACCACTATGCTGCCCCGCCAGCCCCAATTCGAGAATAGTATTCCAAAAATATGCTGTTTGGAGCAGACTGTTTTATGTTGTGAAGGAAACCAAGAAAGCTTCACACACTGCTCGATTTCGTTCTATTTTAATCAGATATACCCGTGAAGGTCCGGGTTAGTATTGATCTTCAGTAACCCATGCTTGTCGTAAGAGGCGACTAACGGGATCGGGGGGGTCAGGCTCGCTGACTTGGTTGACACATGTCAACGTATCCTAATTGCAATGCTCATGATGTTAGTCACTGCATTGTCTGGTCCAGTCACGATTATCTGCCATATAGCTTCAACACTGCTTAGCGAGGCATTAAACAACACGTCAACAAGCATGTCCGACCTGGGCTTCCTTCCCCTGAGAGGTCGTAGCGCTACAACTGCCATAAGTATATTCAAGTATGGGAGTTACTATAGTCTTTCCTCCACGATCGCTTTGTATTGTAGAACAAGGCCTCGCCGAGAAATAGCCCGCCGTCCTCATTTCTAGGCCAACT